TTCTAAGTTGAATAAAGCTTTATTTAAGTTACACCTACATTCGTTTTCTAACTATAATTACATTCCTCTTATTTCTGTTGTTTTCTTTGAACCTCTCATGTCATTATTCTCCAACTGCTAGATAAGTAGTACATATTGAGAACAAAGAGTAAACCTCTGGTGTGATTTGAATTTGCATCCCATATCCTTGGGAGCAGCAAAATCATATGAAAGAAATATGAGGACAAATCAATAAATCTATAGTTGTTTGCCGAATTTTGATCTGAAATTTTCACTGCTTCATTTTCAATCTACATTAATAGAGAAGTATTGGGTTAATGTGCATCAATAAAAAAAACTAATAATTGGTTGTATTTCATCTAAGAAATTTGAAGTCTTTTACATTTTTTATTTACTTTTATTTTATTTTAAAATAATAATGTATATTTTGTTTATTAAAATGATTACTTTTAGAAACTTAAAGTTCTTGTATTATTAATATTAGTGAGTGCACAAATAGAAATAGTTGTGAATTATATAATTACTAAAATTAAAAAAAACTTTTAGAAGCTTGCATTACTGTATATACTTGTGTATAAGCTGACTTCATGAATGTTTTGGCATGAATTTGAACCCCTCCAGAAATTAAACTTTAAATTAGGTAATATTCCTCAAATTTTTTGAAAAGTATATTTTATTTTTTGGCAGATTTTAATTTAAAGAGAATTAAATTGTGTTGACAGATGTCTGTTAGTAATGTATTAAAACCACTAATATATATATATATATATATATATATATATATATATATATATATATATATATATATATATATATATTTTATTATATTATTAAATTTTTTCATCCTTTTTAGAACATTTAGAATTTTGATTAAAATTCTTGTTTTTTTTTGTGTCAATGGAATACCATTAAAAAGCTTGTCTTAACTGCAGTGACTTGTTTTTGAGGTGTTAACTGACACTTACTTTGATATATTGACAGCTTAGGTCAGAGGAACTTATTGGATGAAAGAACAGAAGTGACATAATTTTTTTGAATTTAAATGAACTTGTTTAACTACACAGTAATTTTTAAAAATTAACAAATACTTTCAACAATCTAATATTCTATTGATTTTTCTTTTAGGTACTTTAGTTTTATAGCCTTGCATTTGAAAATGATTTCTGGGAAAATAAAATTTAAAATACTAACAATAGATACCTAATATTTATAGGTACCCATCTCATTTTTATGAAATGTTACTTTTTTAATGTGTTAATTTTTAATTTTCCTTTTTCTAGAATTGAAACTAAAAAATGAAAATAATTGATAATTGCAGTCTGAAAAACAATAAATTAATTATATTTAAAAAAAACTAAATTAAAAATATTTAGTGAAATAGTATGTAAAAAAAAAAAAATAAAACTTCTGAAAATTTGATGATATTAGTAGTGGCCATGCAAAAACTTCCCAACAGCAGTTTATTGCTGTCAGGGGAAACAATTCTTAAAGCATGTGACATTAGTGATTCATGTCATGTATGACCATACATATATTTTTTTAAAAAAAGAAAGTAGTTTTTAGGCATACTCAAAAAGTGCAAAATTCTTTTTTTAAAATACGTGGGGCTCGCAGATTTTTTTAAAATATAGGGGTGGGAGGGTTCACAGATTGTAATAAGCTTTCAAATTTATGATCTGTAAAGATAGATCTACTTAATAACAGTATTCCCTAAGCAAAACTGATTGAAACTTAATTTTAAAAGACTTAACAACTTTATCACATTTTGTATTTAAAATTGAAAAAAAAATTTATTGTAAAAATTTACTTTTCATTGGAAAAATATTTTTGGCTTCAGACAATGTTGTCCTTAACATATATTATTCATAAAAGCCATTAAAAACTTTGCTAATTAAATAATGTCTTAGTTTTATTGGGTTTTGTATGCTATAATTCAGAGCTGATTTTCAGTAACTGGGTGTTTACAAAAAAAAATCAATAATTTATAGTCTTCAAAGACTGCATTTAATTAATATAATTAATAAAAAGTTCAGCATTGAATTTCTTGAATTTCTTGAGTTTTCATAAAATTAAGTTGGGGTGTGGTAACAGATGTAAAGAATATATATATATATATTTTACCATGACATTCTATATATATATATATATATATATATATATATTTTACCATGACATTCTAAAAAAAACATCCTAAATGATTTTATTCATTTGTGAATAAGTTCTGAAAGTTTCATTAAAATCCAAGAATAATTTGATTTTTGCAAGTATTTCCAAAACAATGTGTTTTTAACACCAAAAAAGGCGTTAAATTTCCTAATATTAATCTTTGGAGTACTTGCTGACAAAAAAAAGATTTTTAACCAAAATTTCGAATGTGCTCGAAAGGATGAAAAAAATTTAATAAAATAATTAAGAAATACTTTGGTATCTGTCTATATCTCTGAGATGATTACTTACATTATTTATATTATTTGGACTGTTATCCTCATCTTCATTGCCATATTCTGAAGAGGCATGGCACAAACTACCCTGGTGGACGAAATAAGGGTTCAGTTCAAAATTCCAATCACCTGAAGAAGGCCAGAGCATACAACAGCCATAATGTCGTGAATATGGCAACGAAGATGAGGATAACAGTCCAAATAATCTAAATAATGTAAGTAAATACTTTAGTTTTTCCTCTTAACAATAACGTAAACATTTTCACGATAAAACTTCATTAAGTTTCGGGCATTTTTTCATCACAGTATGCTTTTAGGAAATTTTTTTTCTTTTTTTTTCTTTTGCAAATTAGTGGAGATACCTACCATATATACTTGCATATCGTGACTTTGGAAGATCTGATTTTGAAGCTAATTTTAGAGGGGTCACATCATACACAAGATATAAAATTAGTGTATGTAATGCTGGCCCTGGCTACAGTGTTGACCAAACTATATATCCATTTATTGTAGTCAAATTAGCTTCAAAATTAGGTCTTAAAGGTTGTATGATACGTGAGTATATATGGTATTTTAATTTCTTTTCCCCTGAAAAGTTACAATTCTGTAACATTGTGATTGAAGAATTCAAACATTTCTAGTTACATTCTCATTTTTATATCCATTTAGAGTTTTGCTTAAAGTTTATAATTGCTTTATTTTTTTGTAATGGCTTTTCTCTTAAATTGTCAAAACAACTTATGCACTTTTGAATTTGTTTTGTTGTATGTGTAGAGAAAAAAAAAATAATGCCAGAAAATTGCTTGTGTTTTACAGTGTGAAATTCATTTTTTGTGTATACTTTTATTTTATTATTAGCTGTAATTTGAATTAAGGGCTTCATTTATTTTTTTTCTTTGGTTATATTAGTTCTCTTCATTGGAATTATTGCATACTCGATGAAGGTCATGTAATTAAAAATGGGAAAACAAAGGTAAGATATCTTTAGACAAATTTTCTACTTCAAAATGACAAGGAAACATTTACTAAATTTATATTTCATCAGATTGTTCTAACTTTATCTTCAGCTTTAGTCCATTTCTTAACACTTCAACTGGAAGGGTAAATTGCCATAGTGCAATGGTTAGTAAGTTAATTTCACCTACCATTATTACTCAGTGAGTGTGATCTTGTACCAGATTAAGTTAATAAGTTGCCATATTTCTTTAAATGTGGTTGTTATGAATATTATTCATTGCATAGATATAAGTATATCAAGTACTAAAATAAATTTAAAATGTTTGACTTCTAAAGAATTTCAGTTAAAAATGGTTCTTAAACTCTGATTTTAGTATTTGTTCACATATTCCAAATGCTTAACTATGTTGTTGTTATTATTACTAATTTTTTGTCTCATAATTTTGTTAATTTTCTACATCTCTTTGTAGCTATCAAAAGCTGTGAAACAACTGAGTTGTAACCATAGGTTAATACTGTCAGGAACGCCTATCCAGAATAATGTCTTAGATTTATGGTCACTCTTTGATTTTCTCATGCCGGGTTTCCTTGGCACAGAGAAGCAGTTTCAAGCTCGTTATGGGAAACCAATTTTACAAAGCCGAGATGCTAAAAGTACGTCAAAGGAGCAAGAAGCTGGTAATTACTTTTTTTTTTTTTTTTGTTAAATTGAGTAAAGTAGCCTATTGGATTAAAGTGTTGGTTTGTGAATTTGATGGTATAATAATTATGAGTTCAATCTCTGGGTTGGGTATTGCAGACTTAAACTCTGTGAAAACACTGTGAGCAATAACTGAGCAGTACTAAAAAGAGATGAAATATCTCTAGACATGGACAGCAGAATGAGAACCATCTACACCTGTAGATTAAATAAAAGGTTCAGCTCAAAATTCATTGAAGGTTGTTTGGATTGGCAGGTACCTGAAGAAGGCTGTAGGGCACAACAGCTGAAATGTTGCAATAATAACAAAAAATGAGGACATTAATCTGAATGTAAATAATGTAAATTCCTCATCCAAGAAATTCCCAGAAAGGAAATATGTTGGTCAAAAAAGTTAATTCTGGAAATAAAAAACAAATTGCCTTTTATTTTTACTTAATGAACTAAACACCTTTAACCACCCAATATTAAGATCACAGATATACTGACTAAAGATATTACTTAAAGAGAACTGTCTTAGTGAACAAGGAAGGTGATTAAAAGCAAGCAGTAATGTAGCTAATATCACACTTCAGTACATCAATAGAATGAAATTTATTTTATTGCATTAATGGAAACTTTCTCCTACTGTTTAAACTTTTTATTAATGATTCACTTATGTTGAAGAAATTTTCCACTTGTTAAATTTTCAACATCCGATGATATATTTGATTTGTAAAGATTATGTGCATTTTCATGAATATGGAGCCAATATGTTTTTGGCCAGTCTTATCATGCTAATTCACAATTTCATGAACTGTAACACTATATCCTCACCCCACTGGACCCATGCACTCCACAAGACTGGCTGTTGGTCCGGTATGGTCCAGTATTACAGTATTAGACTAGGTATCACAGATGAAAATTTCAAACAAGTACTAGGTGTTATCTGATTGCATTTTCTTAATCTACATGCTTAAAGAAACTTAGCAGTTTTTATTTCATCAAAATATCTCAAACTGTTTAATTTTGGCAGATTTATTTTTATTTTTGCACATGTGCTCAACTTAGCCATTTTTTTTGTCTATTATGAATTAGGACAAAATGCCATATTTGGACTCCTATATTTTAAAAAGCAATTAAGAACAACAGTTAAAATTATATTAGCTTGTTAGGTACATAACAAAGAAATTAATAATTAAATTACAGATAGTATCACTGCATATTTCTTCAATAAATTCAGTCTGAATATGCAAATTTTATAAATCAAAACTTCTGCAACGACGTGCAAACAACTCATAAACTGAGGTTTCTTATTTCATAAACCTGGAAATAAGACCCACATTCATCCCAAATTTCAAATATTACATTATGACTATACCAGTAACATGCCTAATTTTGGCGGGAGTGATAGAATGGATATATTCTGGATTATTCCACTTCAAATTTGGAAAAAATTGCTTTTAACCCTTTGTCACAAGGTATTTGAAAGATCGATTTTAGACTTGTTTGAATTGTGTCATGAAATGAATACTTCTTACACTAGAAACACCAAATTTCATATCTAGCCATTTTCCGGGTGTGGTCTTTCCATTTATCATGTGTATTTTACACATGATAAATGGAAAGAGCACCCCAAGCACCTAAAATCAACAGATTAGAATGTATATGGAGTAGATGCTGAACAAGTACAGTCCTGACTCAACATGTACAATTTCTGAGAGAGAGAAGCTTAACACTTAGTAGTCATCTACAAATTATTGTCTACGTTTTCTTATTGAATTTGAGTTTATTTGCAGTTCATAAAAAATTGCACTAAATACAATCAGGGATAAAAATATAAATTTAGAGTCATCCATACACCTGAGTAACAAATAGGGAAGCACTAAAATATTTTCTCAACAGACCTATTTCCACAGTGGTCCTTAAAACTGACACATTAAAATATTTTAGAATAAGATAAAGAATTATAATCCATATGAAATAAATATTACTAAGAAATAAGAATAAATTAGGAAAATGAATATTAAATCATAAATTTGTATCTAGATAGCAATAAATTGTAACTAAAATCCATTCATTAGATAATTTAAAAAGTAACAAAATTGTTTGAAGGGGTAACTTTAAACAAAATGTTACTTGGTAACTGTTATAGTGGAACACACCTATTTTATAGTTAATAGACTCTCCCACCTATAATAAGTAGGAGTAGTTAAGAGTAACGAGTCAGTCGCTCAGTGGGTCGGTCAGTCAGTCGATGTCGTTAGTCGAATACTAAACTATCAGCGAACACAACTAGATTTCTCTGCGTTGTACCTATTATATCAAGTTCCTAACATTTTGTATGTCGAACCTATTTTAGGACCGACTTAGTACAAATACAAGCCTCCACTGTGAAATCACTCCATAATAGTAACTGAAATGCTGATAATTATTGTGAGAATACTGCAAAAACATAAGACATTCTAGATTTTTTTTGTAGAATGTTTTTTATCTCATTCTTTGAATATGAACATTTTCCAATCAATAAGGCCTACATTTTTTTTTTTCATGATTTGTATCTGAGCGTAAAGTAAACAAATTGATTTGTTTCATATTTTTTATGACAAAAACGGTTTTTAAATCCCATTTACATTTTACATATCATAGAAAATTAATATTTAAAACAAATTCTTATCAATTTCCTTGAAAATTGTGTCCTTAAAAAACATGCTGGTTGATTCTTTTGTGTCCATGTTGACGCAGTGTATTGACTGTTACGTGGAGTCGAAATGATAGCTGAGCGAGTCGCACATGGTTACACATAATTGCACACACGCAAAATGGAGCTATCATTTCATATTTGATTTAGTTTATTATAGATTATTAAATGAGCGTTTTAATGATATATTTTATGTGTTTTCATTTTTACAAGAAGCATTTGAATTTTACAATCAAACTTTTCATTTGAATTGTTTACAAACTTCTTATTAAAATTAAAAAATATAAAATATATGAAAATGAAGCTTAGAATGTTAACTTTCAAATTAACGTGTTACCAAAATTGTAATAAACCCTGCGGAGTGCGCATGTTACAAAATTTGAGGAAGTCTAAACTGCCATCAGTGAAAAAAATGGCCAAAATTTTGCGAAATCACCAAAATGTCTCTATTTTCAAACTGTAATGTTCCTCGCACACTAGTACATATAAAAGTAAATAAGATAGAAACAAAGTTCATGAAATAAGCTTTTATTTGGCATGCATTATGTTCTTATGGAGATATTGAATGAAATAACATGGGGAGTTGAATATATGCCTTTTTTAGTGTTTAGTTAAGAATTTCATCAACTGTAAGCAGAGTGTTGGGATACCTAATTAGACACAAGTCTCCAGTTCCCAATGTCAATTTGAAGACATGTTGTGATTTTTTTTGATCTTGGAGAGATTTTAGAAATCCGAAGCTCCCCGTTGGTCTGCCAATGTTTTTGTCAGGCGAAAATCGGGTTAACAGAAAAATAAATCCAAGTTGATTCAATTTTGAAAGGACAAAAGTTTTTTTTATATATAAAAGCAAACACACACAAAAAATAATTCTTGTTTCACAAGGTTGTATGTTTCTTGTATATGAACAATAACCAAACAAACACATATGCTTCAAATAATTTTGGTAAAGGAGAGATGTGGCCTTCGTTTTAATCTGTTTTTCTAGTGCGAACGTATTGATATACTTTCAAAGTACAATTTTACTCTTTTGAGAGTAAACAATTTACCTTTTCATTGATTCGTATCCAAGGTCCACAACAAGATGCTATTGTTTATCACCTCGCTACCAACCACTCTGCTGCTCTTTTTGTAAACTACAGAGAGTCTTGTTTCAGAAATAAATTCTAAATCAAAACACTCTTTATTTTAATTTTGATTCTCATAGTGTCAAAATCCATTTCTTTTTCTAAAAGTTCCAAATTATCATTGTTCCAGTAATTTTCTATTAGTAATCTGATATCCTTTGTACACTTACAAAAAGATTGTATTTCGTGTTCTAAATTAACTTTCTGTAACATTTACATTTCAAAGTCTTTATAGCATTTTAACATCTTGGTTATTTGAAAATGCCTCTCTTCTCTTGGTGTTTTCTGTTTTACAGCATATTCTCCTTTATTATCATTATTATTATTTCAGGGGTGATATCGCCCATGCCACAAAACAACATAGAAAAAATCTGTAAACCTTAAAACCAACAATACTAGTTTGTAGATGTATCCTAAGGATAAAGTACATATTTATCTTATTGGTTGGGTATCTGCAATGAATAGGCATCTCACAACCCTGACAAAAAACCTTGGTATTGTATGGCAATTACATCATATACTGAGCACAGTCCATTGCCCCACTACTACTCCAAAAATGTGCCTGCTTTTATTGTGCCCAAAACATTAGCGATTGACTAGCAAAACAATTTATTTGTGTAACTAACACTGCTCAACTCACCATTCTGATCATTTTGTTGGGGAGCTGGTGAATATCTTATTTCTTCATACCCAGACAGTCCAGGGTTCATTCCAACTCTGTTCTGGCTAGGCAGCTGTTTTCTTTCTTTTTACAGCGACAGCACACTAGACATTGTCTCTTTGACCAATGGGGGCAGGTACTGTTATCAGTGGTGGTAAACAGCTCATTCTGCATTTTGTTTCCACTACAGAAATGCTGAAAATTTTTTGGACTGACCAAGAAGGGATTAAAAAAAAAAAAAATTTGTTTTATTGGTCACTTGATCAGATTTTGGTGAGTAGTGTTGGGCTGAGAACTTTTCTTCACCTTAATTTACATATATGTATACACTGTTATTAATTATATTAAAAAAATCAACATTTTTTTCCTTTTTCAGGTGTATTAGCTATGGAATCTCTTCACCGGCAAGTTTTACCTTTCATTCTTCGACGCTTAAAAGAAGATGTCTTACAAGACTTGCCACCTAAGATCATGCAAGATTATTATTGTGATTTGAGTCCATTGCAGGTAAATTGTTGGCATTTTTTGAAATTGTTTATTTTTCTAATTACTTCTGCATGAATATTTAAAATGTAGGAAGTTATTATATATTTTAAACATAATGTATTTATTTAACAAAATGGGTGTAGGCTCCACTAAAGAAAATAAAGAGTCAAGTATATAATGTGCTGAAATGTTGTTTTTACACATCCTTTTCCACTAGCACGACATCGAATTTAGTGCTGAGGAAACGCATGTATGAAGGAATATATAATTACTACATTTAAAGTAAGTATCAAAAAACTGAAAATAATAGGAAAAAGCTAGTGGTCTATTTTTACTTGAATATATTTTGACAGTAACCAGTGTTCAAAGAATATTCTTATTGTGAATAAAGTTTTTTATTGTTGAGTTGTGAAAGAATAATTGTTCAAGTGAAATGTTGTTACATAGGCATAAACATGTGAGTTGAGGTTTCCACAATTTGATGGAATGTAAGCTTCCTGATGTTGAGTTACTTTTGTGTGCTGTGGCAAAACTACCGATTTATTTCAGTGTGTTCACTAAAATAGATTTAGAAGTATGTTCAGAAATTGATCTTTAGCAACATTTTAGATGGAAAATATTATTTTTCTGCAAAGCTGGGCTTTTTTTAGCGCTTTGTAAAAAAATATTGGTTTCATTATAATATATTCATTTCTCAGTGACAGTTTCTATGTTGATCAAAAAGATTAAGACAAGTGTTTAAACACTAAACCTTTTTGATGTTGACTTGTTACATAAAAGCAGAGTAACTTTTAAAGAGTTAGATTTCCTAATACTTAGTAAAAAGTCATTGCTGGGAACTTTTACATCAGCATATAATTACTGCAACGTTTGTTAGAAAATTTTCAAATTATTTTAAATGTTTCTCAGATTAAATGATAAAACTATTATAGGATTTATTGTAGAACTGATGCCTAATTACTCTTCAATTATTAGTTATGCATATTTGGTTAAAATATGACATAATGCAAATGTTTTAATTATATCTGTTATTCAAATTTTCATGAAATTTTTTTTTGGATATCAGCAATTTTTTATAGAAAATATTGCTATTGGAGTTATCAAGAATTCTTTCATTTGTAAATTGGTGCAAAATTAATTTATCTCCATATAAATGAGGTTTAACTGATAATTTTAAAATTATAGATAAAAAAGATACTTTGTGATTTAACAATTCTTGTTTGATTCTTGCTTGTTACTTTTTTATTTCACTTTTAGAATAAAAATCTTGTTTAACAATGAGCCTTTTCCAGGTTTTCTCATTTTTTAACAATCTTCAACAAAAGCATTTTTTTCCTTTTACACAAAAAGATATTCACAAGAGTAACTGATTGTTTCACTATCATTGTACATTATAAGCTGCTGTATTGCTAATAGTTATTATCTATTCTCCAATATACATATTTCTATAGGATAAGACAAAAAAAGAGATTTGTGGTACCAATATTAAAAGATGATGGTTTCATTTGACAGCTATCCCATATTGCCTAAAATACCAGTGGAAAGTGGTCAGATCACTAGTTTCTAAATTACAGCTCTTCAAAATTCATTTTATTCAGTGTCATTCATTTTTATTTTTAATATCAGCTTTGTAGTTTCATTTTTAATCATTTTCATGTTTCTTTCTCTCTCTCAGGTTAAATTATATGAAGATTTTACTCGATCACATGCAAGGAAAAATGTTGAGAAGAGTGTTCTTTTCCTTGATGAATCTTCTGACGCTAAATCTGTGTCTCCAGTAAAAAAATCAAATCAAGGAGCTACACACATATTTCAAGTAAATAAAACTTATTTGATATTTTTTATTCATATTCTTAATTAGCCTAATATTAAAGCTTAATATAAATTTATTTTTCGAAAAATAAATTCTCTATATGAATTTTTAAATGAAATATTCATACATCAAAATCTAAGTTTCTTTTGCTTCATAGTTTAAATATGTTCTTAAAATACAAAATTATGTAATGAAATGATTTTTATTTAAAGTAATGAGATTATTTATTTTTGTATTCTATGTAAAATCTGATGCTGACAGGTTTTTAAAATAGTGAGTATCCGTGACCCACAGTCTCAACTGAAGTTTCTTAAATTGTTGTGTTAGACTGCAGGGCTACAGACTTCCTTTTTTTGATTTAATCATCATCCCAAAAACAATTTTAATCATGCCAAATCACTTAAATTGTCACAATAACTTTGAACTTTTTTTAAAAAATTAAGTGAATAAATTCAATACAAAAACAGTATTTACATTTAATCACAGTTCAATTAATTAACTATTTTTTTCAGAATTATGGCAATAAATTTTTTAAATTGACTGAACATAATCTTTTTTATTTTAAATTTGTTGAATAATTTAAAACTATTTACACTTAATCATAGTTCAGTTAAGGAACTATACTGGTAACAAGTAAAAAAAAAACTAAATACAAAACAGTCTGATTAAAGTATTTTTTTTTTTTAAATTATCACAAAGTTTTTTATTAAATTGATAAAACATAATTTACTTTTTTTTTTTTAATTAATTGAATGTGTTGATTTTTTGTTTCTTATAAAAATTAAATTGAATAAAGTGGAGGTTCCTTTAAAAGATTTTTGAATCAGTTTAGACATATGAGACCAATGCTCATATGTTTCACATCTGTATGATACAAAATTCAAAGAAAATATTTGTTCTGTAACAACTTAAATAGCACCAAAATAAGTTATAAAATAGAGGTGTGTCTACTACATGTGAATAGAACATTGCACAAATTCAATTGAAAACAAAATGGTGACTGTAGAACTTAAGTAGCACAAAAATAAATTAATAAGAGTGTATTGATTTTAACGCATGAAGAAAACATTCTCATCACCTTGACAGTTTACAAATGGTCACCAAGATCTTTTAGTCTGAAAATAATCAACTAAATCAAATGTAATTTTAACTGATGAGGACAACAATGAAACTAAAAATAGTAGTATATTGAAAAAAATGAAATGATGCAGCTATATTTGTTCTGTATTATGAGAAGATTAATGTAAATAAACTTAATATTATTTGTCAATGATTACGTGTATATCACAGTGTACAGTTTTTTCTGCTTGAATCCTTTCCATTTGACCAGTGTCTCTTCAAAAGAGAACTGACGTTTTGGGTCCCAGTTTGACCTTAAGAATCTAATCTTGATATTCTGATGATAGCCTGTTCTGGTGAGGGGTAAGAATGAGGTTCTGAGCAGAGAACCCTCATTTATAGCCAGCTGTATGCACAGTCAAAGTGGTGGCCAGTTGAGAAAAGGATGGTGAGGTTGGGGAAATCTTTTAGGTGATATTTTGTCACCAATGTCCAAAGCTTCCACATACTGTCTCTGAGGTAGTGGTGTGACAACTTTTGAGACCAAACAGCATATCTTGACTGAATGCTTTTAGATGCATCAATACATTTCTACAAGAATTTGGGTTTTACTATCTAGACTACATGTTAATTTGTTTAAAGCACAGGTCAGCAAACTTTGATAAATTCATGTGCCTCAAAAACAAACAAACCAGGAAAGTGCCTGGTTATGCAATATTAATGTTTATTTCATGCTGCCCACACATTTCACTGCCCAATTAAAGGAGTAAATAATAAATGAAAGAAAAAAACGAAGAAGTACTAAAAAGTATTTGAAAGAATAACATTAAAGGATTAATGCTGTGTTTTATTATTTAAAATTACAAAAAATCTTCCCTTCAGTCTGTACCAAACTATACAGGAAAATTTCTTTTGTTTGAAAACATTTTTTGAAACATGTTAAATGTTGTTTGAACAGTGAACTGAATGTTAAATACAAATGTCTCCACTTGTTATTTAAAACATTTTGCATGCACAGTTTTAAAAGTACATTAACAAAAATACAAAATGTTCAAAATAAAATATCTATGTACTAATTGCCATCAATTTGACAAATGATTCATGTTTGGCTACAAAAGAATTAATCTGATTTTGAATTAAATTGATGTCGTTTACATAGTATTGACCAACATCAAATTTATTTTACTATGTTGTAACTGTTATGGGTTGATTTTGTGCAATGTATTGCTTTTCAAGGGAAACTTTAGTTGTATCCCTGGGATGCACATATGGGAAAGTTACTGTGTCCTTTAAGATTTTTATTCATCAGGGACACACCTATCAGCATCTCTAAAAAGAATTGCTGTGAAAATATTCTAAGTTTTTTTTTTTTTTTTTTTTTTTATAAGTTTCTATCATTCTATTGCTAGATGAGATTTTCATACAAAGATAACAAATTCTACTTAAAACATTTGTAAATGTCTATTCTTAAAGAAACCTGATGTATCAAACTATTTGCTCCTAATTATTTTTGAGTCATTTTTTCTTGTTTTTTTATTACTCTGTTGAATATACTCCAGAATACTCAGAATTCTTCATATCAGAATTCATGTAATTGGAAACTAGTCCCTTCTGAATTCAGTGTTAAGTGAAGTTGCCTAGTAATAGCTAATTCAGGTTAATTTTCTCAATAACAGATTTCCAAATTTTTATCAATATTTTTATACTTTCATTTTTTTCTTTTCATTTTATTTTATTTAATAATATTTTATTATTATATATTCCCTCCCCACCTTCTCTTTCTTTCCTTTCGTCACATCCTATTCTAACCATATTCTCGTCTTTCAGCACTCTGCCACATGGTTTGCCTGTTTGCTACAACATGCTACATGCAAGACGTCTTTCCCTTTCCTCAACCTATAACTCTTTTCATCAATGTTTACAATCTTACTCCCCCCATGATATACACTAGTAACAATATACCTGCCTAACAGTTTTTTAAATTTAAGTTTATTTTCATAAAAAGTTGTGCACATCAAGGAATCAGACAGGGATCTGTTTTTTGCTAATATGATTTCCACTAGAAAATACCCCATCTACAAAACCATCTGTCAGTTAGTAATTCCCATTTCTCTGTTTGTTTCTTGGACTATTGATGAAGGACACAGGTGTGTCCAAAAATTTAAAACATAAAAACCTTTCTTTCCATGCTTCATTTTTGTCATATGGTTAATATTTAATAAATGTTTATGATACTTATTATATTGGTACCATTTTGTTTGCCCTTGTTTTATTAACCAACCTATTTTACACATGCACACACACACACACACACACACACATATATATATATATATATATATATATATATATATATATATTGTATCTGTGTAGTGTAAAATTACTGGATTTAATTTAAAATTTATTGTGAGCCTTTGGTACACATATTTTTAAAAGCTTGTTTGTGCTTTTTATTATTGTAACTTAGAAAGACAAAAGGAGTTTGAAAGCAGTATAGATAACTAGTTTTATTTTTATTAATTCATTAAAAATGGATTTTGATCTCACGCATTAATTTGACATAAGTTTGATTCATTGTAAAATTTTCAACTCACATGAAATGCAGTAGACTTGTAGGAATCTTTTGAACTTATATATTCTTTGTCTATTCCATTCTTAATTTGTATATTAATAATTATATGTCGAGATATTAATAGACCAGCCAGTTGCCAAAATTGTGACTTCTACCTGCATGGAATATTAATAGCAATCAAGCATTATAAATCAATCAGTCATAGGTCAGTGAGAAATGCTAGGCCGGATACCACAAAAAATGTTGACCTTAAACATCATTTCAAGGTCATTTTGTGGTCAGAAAGGTTAAATTTCAAAGTTGTCCAAAGTTGGCATATAAAAAAAAAGGTATTAAAGAGATAAATAGTGTGGTACTATTTTTAAGTCAGAATATTGACCTCAGAAGTAGATAATGTAGATCAAAGTTTATCCAAGTATTTTTGTGACTTCCAGCCAATCAATTTAGCATGAATGCTGACTAGTAAGTAAACAAATATAATTATTTTGTATAATAATAATTTTACAGTGCTAAAAATTAATATATAAGGATTTATATTTTAAAGTAGGATTAAAAACATAAGATCAAATAAAAACGTATTATCATATACTTGGAAAAATGTGTATGCTATGCCATATACATACATACATACATATATATATAATGTTACAAATATAGTGTTCAATCTGATGGATTATAACATACAACAGAATCATAGGCATTTGTATATGTCAAATTCTTTTTAAAGCAGGTGCATCTTGCAGTCTTGCACTTGATTTTGCAAGAGCAGGTCACAAAACTCACATGCATGAACATCTTGCATAATTTGTGTAATCATAGATGGCAGCATGGCAGAAAAAGATTCCAGATGGAGAATCCACTTATGATCTCTCTCTGCTCGGATGGAGTCAAGAAGAATCTCAACCAATTTGTAGTTGGGTTTGCTTGAGTATTATTTTGTCAAATTTCATCATAAGTCCTTTCACATTCTTGTCACTGGGAACATCAGAAAGCTCATCAACTGCATTGTAGAGTGCATTTCTGCCATTTGCAGCCTTGTTTCTACACCTATCAGCCACATTTGGGAACATTTTGAAATCTGAAAGGTGAGCGTTTTGAACATAGTGCTTCATAAGTCAGTATATGTGCTCTCACAGCTTTTCCATCCAACATGGTTTCAGTTGTCTTGGTTGCATAAACACCAGATTCTGTCCATGAGTCATCCAGCTCAGCATTTGACGTGTGCTGACTGATTGGTTTCAAGAAATTATAAGATGTGAAGGCCACTCATAAGAAAAATGACATTGTCATGTCAAATTTGGAATTTGAGCAACAAATTTCCTTGCCTCTGCTGTACAATGGTTGATCTGCCATGGTAATGGTGTATTTCTGTCCCATGTACTTTGAAATAGCTATGAAGCAATTTATCACTGTTATTATAGTATCATTATCATCTGCTGGTGCAACATTCCTACAGTAGTTACTGGAGGATCAACAATGCTCATGGCTTCATTCATTGCTCTCCAACCAGGTACAGATGGATCAACTTTGTCATCACAAATCCTAGACACCAACCAAGTCAAATCTTTTGCTGTTTGCCTTTCTTCATCTTTTGCTCCAAACCATTCCAGTTCTGTTTTTGCAGAACAAGTGTATGGTAGTGATGGCCTATTTCTAATTGGCAAAGTTGCTTTGTCAATTATTTGGAATGCCTGTAAAGAATCGGGTTTGATTGGTCTTGATTTCTGGATGTGTGTGTGCTTTGAATCCTCTGCTGTGGTGCTGGTCCTCTCTGCCATGTCAACATATGTGTGCAATGAAACATGCTTTTTCCTCTAGAGTGCTTCCAGTACATCAATGTTGTCACATGAGAATTGGATCATTTGCTCTTTGATGATATTATCAGGAACATAGACATTGCCATTTTCAACAAATCTTTGAGGAATGTTTTGTGCTGAAGTATCAGTTTTTCAAACTGTACCAATGGTATGGTTTGCTGCATGGAAGAGATCCAAAAGTAGCTCTGAATGTGTGACTTGGTGAAGTGAAAGCCCTAAACCATTATGTTTTGGTGTAAGTTTTTGTTTGTTAGACACTGCATACACAATGTTTTGAGCATTGTTGCATACACACTGCTTGATACTATTATCTTCTTTGATTCTGTCATTAAGACTATCCCCATCACAGAATAGTAAATGTAGAAATAGATACAAACTATTTGGCATAATTTGTGAAACATGTTCTTGATCAATTCCTTGCCAACTGTTGGAATGACCTGGATTTTCTGAGGTCTTTTCTGATTCTTAGTGCTACATGTATGATTTCTTTATAAATATGTCTCTATTTCAGCTCAAATCTCAGGCTTAAATGTTATATTAGGATTCCCTACTCACTTTACATCTTTGGAAGTTTAAGTATAGTGGGATGAAAGTGCAATAATAATTTCTTAGTTCTATCAGAACCTCCCATTACTCTGAAAATATGTTTCCGTTTACCAAAACAAGCTGTTTCTGAGTATTTTGTACACTACAGAACATACATTGCAGATTTTAATTTAAAAAAAATGCTCCTGGGATTTGTTGTTTTAAATGTTTTTGAATAACTGTAACAACATAAACAATAACACAACATATTTATTGTTAACAAAACACTGTAAACACAGACTTCTACTTTAGAAATAAGTTTGTTTGCTTGTGTATTAATTTGTTTTACTAAAAGAATTTTCACCTGAAGGCTTTCTTTAATCTTCCTTTCAACTAAATTCATTGAACATTTTCAAAATAGAATTAAGTTTAATTCTATTTTTTACGTTTTTTTTTGTCCTACCTTTCTTCTTCAAATGTAATGAAAGTTGGTGAAGTATGAAAATTTATTAAAATTTCAATTTAAAGTTTTTGAGTTCTCTCTAAATTGAAATAACTTTTTTCATAAGTAATAAAATGAATTATGATTAAATTTGAATAATTTAGAGATTTTAAAATAAAAATATAGAATTAATTTTTTCAAAAAAAAAAATGACTAAGAAAATAAAGAAAAAAAGTTTAACATTTAAATTTGGTTAAATTTTTTTAAGAATAGTTAATGAAAATAATGAAAAAAAATTACCTTCAAATTTTCATAAGAAGTTTTGCAAAGTGTAAATTGTTTAAATATGCAATTTCAATATATTGTTTACTGCTGTGCTGTGCATTTGTGCTACTACAATGTTGTAACCCCGACTGGTAACACACAAGCAAGATACTATCAGTCTCTATACTTTTAAAAGTCGATACGTAAAAACTACATAAAAAAAAAAAAACATTTCAAAATTTGATTAAAAAAAATAAAATTATTTGTTTGATATTTGTGAAAATTTCCAGTTATTAGTAACAATAGTTTGAATTAATGATAATATAGGTTTGGCATTAAAATCCCATGTAGATTTTTAAAATATTTTATGTAATAAATTTGGGTATGTAATCCCAACAGTGAAGTTATTGACATATTTTCTTGAACATTTTTCCAAATCTCAATAACTTATAAGACATTTTATAAATTACTTGAATTAAAATAAGAAATTTAAAAAAAATTCTTCTAAAAAATTAGTTCACCAAAAATTTTTTTATCATGGAACACTCTATACAATATTCAGAAAAAGTAGTTAAAATTCTATTTAAATTAAAAAATGGGCAAGTTTTATTGAATTATTCATTTTAAGATTTAGGGCAGATTTTTTGCAATCATGAAGCTTTTAAAAAATTTCTAATGATTTGAATTTTTTCTTAAATAAAAAAAAAAAAAAAGTAGCAAAAGTAGTTTGACGAAAAGTTTTGGCAAAAAAAAAAAAAAAAACACATTAAAAATAATCTCATCCATTACTGCATAACTTCTGAAAATTTCATTAAAATCTGATAATTTTCTGATTTTTGATAAATATAAAAAAATAAACAGGTTAAATTTGACTTGTGACCTTTCATTGACCACAAAATGACCTTGAAATGGCCTTTAAGGTCAACATATTTTGTGGTATCAACCCTTGCATTAATTTCTGGTTTACGCCTTATTCATTTAACATGGATACCAGCTATTAGCATCCCATGCAGGTAGAACCTTTTTTTTTTTTTTTTTTTTTTTTTAAAGTTTTTTTGCTAGTTGGTTCAATTTTTTTTTTTTTTTTTAGCAAGTGGGTACTCAACACACTTGGAAGTTTTTTTTGCTAGTCGGTTCAATTTTTTTTTTTTTTTTTTCTAAATTTTAAAACATAATTCTCTTATAATTATATACATTCAATTTTAAAAATTGCAAAATGTCCTTATCTTTTCTTTCTCAGGCTCTGCAGTATTTACGTAAAGTATGTAATCATCCTGCTTTAGTTTTATCTTCCCAACATCCCAAATATGCAGAAATAGTAGAACAACTTTCAGCACAACAGTCTTCCTTACAAGACATTCAACATGCTCCTAAGCTAACAGCACTCAAGTAAGTTTTTATTATTAACACATGTATAACCAAAACATTCCTTGCAGTTTTTTTACTTTGTATGAGAAGAAGTGTTTACTGATATGCAAATGAGTATGTTGCATGCCAGGAAAGTGGTGGGGGCATTGTCATAAGTTTGAGCAGCAGCAAGGAAAGATGGCAGTGTTGAAGCAGCTTGTTCAAGGTTGTCTGCTTTATGACTTTAAGGTGGGCTTGTCTGCAACTGCATCAAGTTGCTGAATGTGTCAAGCCTTTGTGGATAATGCTGTGAGTGAATGCATCGCCAGGCATTGTTCCCAGAAGTTCATAGCAGGAGATGTGTCCCTTTGTAATGAACCATGCAGTGGATGGCCACAATTCGTGGATGATAAGGCCCTGAAGGCTGCCATAGAGGAGGACAACAGCCAAATCTGTGGTGAGCTTTCTGAACGCTTCAAGATTTCTTATGAAACAGACTTCACTTGCACTGCATAGTGAAGACACAAGTTGAGCAAGTGGGTACTCAACACACTCTTGGAAGCCAATAAGCAATGAGTGACAGCCCATATTTGATCTAGTGTCCACCAGTGACAAAAAGTGGGTCCAGGAATGACATTCTCAGACATTTGTTGTCAGCATGGGACTCTGTGCCTCACACCACAAGACCATCTCTACATTCACACAAGGTCATGTGCTGAATCTGATGGACTAGTTGATAAGTGGTACACTATAAGCTACTACCAATGGTCAAAACTATCACTACAAACCTGTACTCACATCAATTGGAATGTGTGCAACAAGCACTGAAGTGGAAGGAGCCAGCATTGATTAATTACAAGGGTGTACTGTTTCTCCATGGCAGTTCCAAGCCTCATGTGGTGTGGGTGGCCAGGGATACCATATGGTGACTTGGATCTTGTGCCAACAGATGATCACCTCTTTCATTCTCTGGACGACCACCCTTGTAGTAAATCCTGAAGCAGATTTGCAGTAGTTGGTCAAAGACTTCCATGACACAAGACTTTTACTACCAGGGCACAGCTGGAGACATGTTGGCAAAAGATTCTGTATGTCATCGGGGATTACTTTGAGGACTAACGATATGTCAACTTTGCTGTATACCTTTTTTTTTTCTCTAATAAATAAAAAATAGCAAGGATTTTTTTCTTTTTTTTTTGTGTGTGTGTGTGTGTGTACCATATATTTCCACATATAAGGTGACTTTTAGATGAGATAAAATAAAATATAGCAAATTTTCATGAATTTATCCTATACCTGTACTATAAGACAACTGCTTATTGATTATATATAGACGATGTTATTGGAAATGTTGTTACAGTATGCTTAGAAATTCAAAATAAATGAAATAACAAAAACTGATTCTGTATTGTGTTTTTCAAAGGGAAACCATTTTGTTTATGTTTCATCATGTGATCTCTTTCAAATACTGATTCTTCTTATTCTTCCTCTTTTTTTTCCTATATCTAAACAGTTACAAACAGCCTGGTGTACTAACAGCTATTTACTTCATCGATGATCACAAAGTACTGCTAACAACAGAACGATAATAGTACATTCCATTGCTGTGAATACAATCATAACTTGATGTTTACATTTTCACAGCTGAGCTTGCATGGATACAAGTTGATTTCATTGATATGGAATTATTCTTCAAATAGGTAGTTTATTATAAAGTTATGTCAGTAATATATAAGGTAGAAATGGTTTAATTATTTTTATTATCAGTTTATTTGATAATATGAATCTTTTCATGTATGTTATTGCACTGAGGCCAATGTTAGCCTACCAACAAACATCACTCAGAATTTAAAGTTTTTCTTTTAGAATTGTAGTATAAGCTGACTCCTAATTTTTAAGGGTGATTTTAGGCATTTAAAGGTTGTCTTATACAGACATATATGGTATATACATACACATCTTAATCTTTTGTTTTTAACTAGATTAAGTAATACTTATCTCTACATATTGTATAAAAATTAATTACAAAATCTTCCAGGAATGCAGTATAAATTTTATTTCATAAGATTAAACTTAATCAATTGGTTTGAAATTTAAACATTAATTTTAGTGATATTTTTTCTAACAAGCTATTCATTATTTGGGCCAAAATATTATTGTTGTCCATATTAAACTCATTAATTATTTTTTGCATTGTGTTGTTGAATTTATCTCTTAGGGGAAATGTATTTCAGATTTAATTTTTCTAAAACAAAAATGAGAATTTTTATGACTTGAAATATTATTCTACACTAGACAACTTCTCCATGATTGTGGCATTGGTGTGCCTATTGACCCCAAAGACACACCTGTTGTGAACCAACATCGAGTACTGCTTTTTTGTCAATTGAAGAGCATGTTAAATATTGTAGAAAATGATCTCCTCAAGTAAGTACACTAGATATTAACCTTTTTTTTTCTTTTATATGATATAAATTTAAAATAAAATTTGGTATTTGTGCATATTTTGTAGGATATATAATGTTGATTACAGAGCTTACAAAACACAATAGTGTATTTAAACTAGTTGTCTGTGAAAATATTTGGTTATGATTAATTATTTAATCTGCTCACAGGCTGTTTAGATTCTAATAATTTTTAATTAAAAAATTCAAATAAAAATATGTTTCTATGAAAGTATATTTGGAAATTTTAAGTTTTAATTTTATAATATTAAATAGTATATTAAACATTTAGACAGTGGAAGTAGTGGCATGTAATCAGTAAAATATACTAATATGAATTCTTTTTGCATAGCTTTAATTAATTTATTTTCAATGTATTGTTCATATAACTGTTTTCTAATGTTTCTTTAACATGTTAATCAGCAAAAATGCTGGTTATGTGAGCAATAATTTTTACTTTGCTACTTGAGTGTTTCCCAAAAATATTAAACTAGAAATCTACCAAATCAACTAATATGCATTTTTACTGTTGTTCTGTGTAAACATACTGAATTACAGAAAAAAATATTTTTTTAGAATGATTATCTTTTTCAAATAAAATTTTTGTTTTTTTTTTCTCTCAATTATTTCAGAATTCATATGCCTAATGTTACTTACCTTAGGCTTGATGGAAGCATTCCTGCTGGCTCTCGGCATTGCATAGTTAATAGGTAAAAGTATTTTTATTGATTTAAAAAAAAAAAGAAGAGAATTGGTGCAAATGTTTTATTTATACCTTTTGTATTTTTGTGATGCCATTCGTGGTGTAATTGTGGCAAATTTTGTGACAATGTTCTCCGATCGCCCACCGTTCACTGCTCCTGCGATGGCATCCAACGTTGAGTGTATTTGCATATAAACCCAACTTGCTATGTGCGCAGGTTTGTCTTCTCGGTCGTGATCGCATTCAACAAATATTACTGGTGACAACAAATGTTTTTAAAGACACTTGTTGGGAGTTCACAACAATATGATTTCTCACTTAGCCGGCTATCTTTTACTTTGGCTGAACTGCTATCTCCCTAACTTCATTGGCTTTTGGATTTGGCAACTCTTGATTTCCCACTACCGGTCCTTCTGTCACTGGCCAGCTCTCATGGCTGGACCCACTTTTTTTTCTTTTTTTTTTAACTACCTCCTCTCTCTGCTTATGGATAATTCTTTGGTTCCCATCTCCACCTCCATTCCAAAACCACACGGGTGGTCAAATCTTCAAAAGACTACTTTTATGACTATCTAAAATCATTGATAAAATTTTTGTTTTCCAATTCAAAGGCAGCTGCAGATATAAATCTCCCCAAAACACTGACACTTATGCATACTCAAAGAGACAAGAGACTGGAGACAAAATTCCCATGAAACTTGGATAACTAAATTATCTCCTTGTCTTCTAATGTGTGAGAAATCATATTGTTACATTTTATATTCTCATAAATCCTTGTAAGTACCAGTGTAGAAATATTTTCTTTTTGGAATAATTTATCAATTTAAAAGAAAGCAAAATTGGCCTAGTGCATTGCATCTCCAATCATTTTGTTTTAAATGAACTGTCTAAAAAAACTAAAAAGCTGAATTTCAAATGTGAACAATTTTCTTTTTAAATCCTATTTTGTGATTATTTTTCTTTCTCTAAGATTCAACAATGATCCTTCAATAGATTTATTGCTATTAACTACACATGTTGGAGGCCTTGGCTTAAACTTGACAGGAGCAGACACTGTGATTTTTGTAGAGCATGATTGGAATCCTATGAAAGACTTACAGGTATGTAAATCTATTTAATTTGTAAAAAAGCTACAGATACTCAATTACACTTAAAGCTATGAAGTCCCTTTCTAATCTTTTAAAATTAAGATTTTGAATCACTTTTACACTCTGACTTAATTACGATTATTTAAATTGAAATCACACAGCCAGGTGAATTAGAAAATTTAGGAAAACTAATCAGTAACCAATCATACATTAAACAAATTTTTGTATTGACCAATCAGAAGAAATCTTGTACCAGTAGTAGAACAATATGGTGGCCTGCGTAGATGAAAAATTTCATCTGCTATGCACAAGGAAAAGGTATTTTATATGCATTTTTCCTGGCCCAAAATCCATTGTAATACTATTTAATGGTATAACATAGGTACATCTCTTGGAATTTGTGACTAAATGAAAGAATTTGTAAGGAGATCAGACAGAAATTGTAAGAAATTTCATCAAAGAAAAAGAACACTCTAATCTCTGAATATGGGTTAATCATCAGATTTGTGATACCTGATTTATAGACCTGGAAATTTCTTACATCTTGTGATTTGAAGGAACCAAAATATCACAATGATTATAACTAATCATAAGTAAATAAATGTGATTATATTTTTTATCATTCTAAATGTTTAGCTGTACGTACAAGCAATCTGTTCATAAGTGATTGTCGAAAGTTATTTGCTTTTTTTAAAATAAAGTATATTGTGAGCTTTCAGTTGTTATTGCCTGTTATTGGAAGATGGACAACTGTGGGGAGCTTGTTATTGGCTGGATGGTCTACTGTATATACTTGAGTATAGTGCAAATTTTTTGATCAGTTTTTTGCATAAAATATAGGGTGGGGAATCACTATACACAGATTCATTTTTATGAAGAGGTTAAAAATCATGCAGTTTCAGTGACTGGTTGCACTATACACATGTACATTTTTTTCTGGAGGGAATGAAATTCGTGCATTTTTGGTGACTAACCTACCTGCTAGGTTTACATTCTCACAGTACCTTTGGCTAACTGTAATGGTACAGGTAAGCTCCTTTAGCCTAGATTCTTTCTTTCTTTCTTTTCATGAACAGCAGAGCATCATTCACCATGTGTGCTCCTTAAAATCTACAAATACCTGATATAAATGAAGAATTAACAATGTTTTTTTCATTTCTCCAGTTTGCATGCATCTTCACATGTTTTACATTATCAACAGCACCCCTTTTTTCTGATACTTATCTATACTGTGTAGTTTTTTAGTTGTGTTCCTTATTCTCTCTCCCACTATTTATACTTGTTATATTCTTTGCATTTACAGGTTTTAGGTTATAATTATCCATTACATATTCTTAAAATATTTTGACAAGATGCACTGCAATATATGGTAAATGATGATTGCACAGGGTGAAATACCAAATGAATTTTAATTGTTAGCTTTATTTATGGTATACAATAATATTGTCAGTAGAAATGAACAACATTGTGGAGCATTATAAGAGCATATCCCACTATTAATATATAAATTAGACATAAAGTATTACAGTATATGCTGTAATGCTGTATCCTCACACCACTGGGCCCACACACTCCACAAGACCGGGCATTGGTCCGGTATGGTCCAGTATTACAGGTTAGACACAAGTCTCCAGCAATGTCAGTTTCAAGCCACCCTCCAGCAATGTTCTGATTGTTTTGATCCTGGAGAGTGTTCATTAGATTGTAGAAATCCAGAAGCTTCACCTCTGTGAATTCATCAGTTGAGAATCTGGTTAACAGAAAAATAAATATAACCAAGTCAATTCGATTTTGAAAGGACAAAATTTTTTTTTTTTTTATATAAAAGCAACACACACATACACAAAAAAAAAAATTCTTGTTCCTTGTATGTGAACATTAACCAAACACAAATACTTTGAATAATTTCTGTAAAGGAGAGATGTGGCCTTCATTTGGTCTGTTCTTAGCACAACTACTACAACTTTCAGTGTTCCTATTCTCAGTAGTCGTAATAGTAGTAGTAGCAGCAGGAGTACTGGTACTTAGATGTTAGTGGCAGTATTTCACTTCTTAGCCCTCAGCTTCAGCAACACACAGCAGACACTTCATTTTCAATCTCTGACATCTCTCCACTCAGTTTGATTGCATTAAATGACAGACGAACCCAAAACTCTCTGCCTTTTTTGGCTTGCTCGCCTCTTTATTAAGAGAACTGGCCTCACGTGTCCTAGACTGGTGACGTATCTGTTTTTCTAGTGCAAACGTAGTGACATACTACCAATGTACAACTTCACTCCCCCGAGAATAAACCATTTACTTTTTCATTGGTTGGTTTCCAAGGTTCACAAGATGCTATTGTTTATCACCTCGCTATTAATTATTCTGCCGCTCTTTGTAAACTACAGAGATTCTTGTTTTAAAAATAAATTCTAGATCAAAACATCCTTAATTTTAACTTCAGTTCTTATAGTGTCAAAATTCATTTCTCTTTCTTTTTTTTTAAGTTCCAAGTTATCATTGTTCGAGTAATTTTCTATTAGTAATCTGATATCCTTTGTACATTTACAAAAAAGATTGTATTTTGTGTTCTAAATTAACTTAACTTTACATTTCCGAGTCTTTACAGCATATTAACATCTTGGTTATTCAAAAACGCCTCTCTTTCACTTGGTGTTTTCTGTTTTTCAGCATATCCTCCTTTATTATCGTTATTATTATTTCGGGGTTGATATCACCCCTGCCACAATGCTACATGCCTACTAGTATTGCTTAGAAGCTGGGGTTGCATTTTACACAAGCTATATAAAAAAAAATCAAGTTTTTCACAAAAATATTCAGTATCATACTATACATGAAGTAGGCTTATACACAAATATATACGGTATGTGTCTAGTCCAGAGAGCTTAATGAATGTAGCCAACTGTAAAATCGGCTGATATTGAAAAGGACTGAACATAAAATAGCCTATTCAGGATAGATTCTGACTTGGCTTCTTTTCACACAATTATAAAATGTGTACTTATGTAAGAGTTGAAAGAGCATAATTTTCTCTACAATTTATTTCAAATCTGCCACTTTTAGTCATAAATTTTCTTTGTTGACAGGAATTTTCCAAGGGAAATAAGCATTGAATTTTTCAAATTGGAAACACATTGAATCCTTTTAAATCATTGTTTCATTCAAAATAACAATTTTCTTCATTTCTTTTTTTATGTACAAGCATTTTATTTCTTTTACATGGTAGTTTTAACTGAAACCAAAAAGAGAAAAAAACTTGATTGGATAACTGATTTCCACATGTACCCAAGTACATGTTTCACCACCAAAATATCTCTCAATGATTTTTTAAAATCTAATATAGTCTCACAATCAACAGAAAATTTTAGACCAGTGGTTCTCGCTTACAAACAAAAGTTAAGCTTATGAAAAATAATGTTTGTGTTCATTATATGAAATCAAAAAAAATTATCTGTCTCATAATAGATATTATAGTCTTACCAAATATTTTTGTTGTAGTAAATTTCAAAAAGATTTTGTTTTTACTTTTGTTGCTAGGACATGGCATGTTTTTGTAATCCATATATTGGTTGATTTTGGTTTGATATCAGTTATTTAATGCTTAAATCTAAATATTTTGTACATATTTTTGTAGCTTCAACTAAATATATTTTGCAAGCAATTGTATGTCTTCAACTGCAGATATTTTGTACATAATTTTATACTTTCAGGGTATACGTTTTCTATACGTTTTATAGGTATATAGTTTGTAGATAATTTATTGTAGGTATTATTACATGTTTTGATATTTCAAATAGTTTCTCATATTTCCTTGTAGTATTTATACTTTACAGAGGCGAAGTGAGTACATTCAGTTGCAACATGTTTCATCATGAGTGCAGCTTGGCATGTTGTACATGTTGGCTGATCTTCATCCTTCAGCAAATATGTATGGGTTAGTTATGTGTGGCCTATATGCATCTGAGCCAATGTTACCTCATTCTTTCTTCCTTTTCTAGACACCTGTTTCTGTTCACCCTGAACCAGTTTGATTGTGAAAATCTTATTTGCATTGTCAGTCCAGTGACTTCTGTTGAATGAAACTGTTTATTTTATTTTTCAGGTCCTTATAAGTGATCCTGAAACTATTATCAAGGCTTTCATTTTGGACAGACTTTGTGACTGAATGTTTAGTCATTTCCTCTAATTCATTTGTGGCTTGGGGTCCAGCATATCCACTATTTCTTTACTTTTGGATAATGAATCCAATTTCAACAGTTGTCAAGATTTTTTTTTATTCCTTTTAACTTTTATTCCTTTAATAGGGAGTGAGAGAATATTATTATTATTTTTTTTTTTTTTTTGTTTCAAGTGCTTAGGTCTATTGCACAAATCTGTACATTGAAAATCAAAGTTTTTCAAATAGTCTTGTTTGTCTTTTGTTTGTCTTTTGCACATCCTGTTTCATTTTTTTATTTTGATCCATCTTGAAGATGTATGTGTGTCTGGGATAATTGATTTTGATTTTTTTCTAATTCCTCTTGGATAGAAGTGGATGTGTACTTGCTTTATGACATTTTCTGAGTTTGAGATTTATTTCTGGTATTCTTATGGAATGGTTGTATTATGGATTCTGGATACAGGTATTTCTATTTCTTGAATGAAGGATTCCATCCAGAGTCCAAATGTTTTTATCGCTTTCTCTTTTTGTTGGAGGAGGTTTGTGTATTTTGGATTGAATGTTATATGCAGGATTAGAGGGACTTGTTCTTAGTTTTATGTAGTATTGTAGGGCAAAACCAACATATTAACTGTATTAATCTTAATATATGTAATAAGCACATCAGTAAGACTTGCAGAAAAATTAAACAACCATCAAAGTCTTTCTAAATTTAAAAAAAATGTAAATCATAGGATCCCATGAAAGAAAGTTTCTTCAAGAATATGTAAAATTGTAGGCAGTCTTGTCTATTATTAATAATTAGAAACTATATCTCTGGAATAAAATATATGATATGCATAAATCTACACAAATTTCATCGTATACATGTTTTGGAACTTATTGAACATTTTTTTTCTTTTTCAATTTCTGATAGCTTGTCTTTTTTTCATTTTTAGGCTATGGACAGGGCTCACAGAATTGGCCAGAAGAAAGTGGTAAATGTTTATCGACTAATTACTCGAGGGACATTAGAAGAAAAAATCATGGGGTGAGGATTACTTTCATAAATCTTATGAAATATATTTAAAAAATATGTTTCAGATAATGTCCCAAATTACTGGATGGGCAGTTGAAAAATTTTAAAATCAAACTTAAAATAAAGATCTTATGCTATCTTACTCAAGTTCAGTGATGTTATAACCCCTCTGCCCAGCCCCAAATATGACCCCTTTGCATGTGTGGGTGTGTATATTTATTTTATATTGTGGTTATCGCACCAAATATAATCCATTATTTGTACTGGTCCCCAAATACAGCAAGCCTTTCTGGATCTTGGATATCGTACAGGGCTTATGTTTGGTGCAATAAATTTTGCTTCACCTGGATGTATTGTTTAGTGGACTCGGTTTGTTGTATTTACTCGTGAGGAATTCAAGAGTCATGGTCTGGGTGAGAACTTGATTGGCTGTTTCTTTCTATGTCGGGTGATCCAGTTGGAAAAGGTAAATGTGCCAATCAAAATGGACGCTTTTGCAAAGTTATTAACAATTTAATTAGAGTAGAAATGTAAGATCATACAACATCTATGGGGCTACTTCATCTCAAACTTTTTTTTTTCCTTGAATGACGTTTTAGCAGTGAATTACTTTTATGGCAGACTTTTTCTAATGCACATCTTTTGAACGGATCATGCAGAGTTTTCTCTCTGCAGGTGTCTGATTACAATTGACAGGTGTCCTCTTGAGCTCACTGATAGTAACTGATTCCTACTGATTTGTATGCATGTATATTTCATTTATATAGACTTTTGTCTAGGAAATAGACAAGATTAATTAGTATCTGAAACAGAAACCAAATGGCCATCTGCAAAGGTTTTTTTCAGTTCAGGCCTGAATTTTTAAGTTTCCAAAATTACCTGTCTATATTTCTGAGATGTGGTATTATGTACACTATTTACATTATTCGGACTATTGTCCTCATCTTTGTCGACATATTTATTACAACATTAGCCATTGTATGCTCCGGCCTTCTTCAGGTGGTTGAAATGTCGAACTGAACCCTTTATTTCGCTCACAGGGGTAGACTGTTCTAGTTCCACGTGCCATGTCTAATGGATGTCAGTTATCAATTATCTCCTGGTAATTCCCCTCTCCAAGTTCTCCACCGCCTTAACCAGATATTGAACTCGCACTCTTTGGGTCCTGTCACCACATTTATTTACTCTGCCATGTGTCCTTGGGGACATCTGTGTATGAATTTCTGGGTATATTCATTTTTTTTTGTTCTGATATTGCGATTTTGCATGTTTTTACCAGAGCTGGGTTGAGGGTGCCAGTTATACTGAATTCTAATCAACTCTTCTGTGGCCCTCCTCATAAGCATTTTATGGGTTTAAATGAATATTTTTAAACCAGACTGTTTTCAATTGGACACCAATCTGAATAACCAGTCTCATATTTATCACATAATAACTCCTTTGTTCAGAATTGTTAAGTCCCTCAAATTACTTTTCCATAAACCAGTATGGTTAAACAAGTGCGCAACTGCCCTGTTGCAATGCCATATAATTTGTGGAAAAATTGTTAATATACCAACAACGTTTTTTATTGAAATAATTGCAAAAAATGCTTTATAATAATAATTTTTTTTACTGAGTTTGAATCTAACCATCTGAAAAGAAAATCATGTTAAAATGCATTTCTATAATATAACTCAGTATTTGCCAATTTTATCTTTTCAAATTCTTACTATATCTATTTACTTTTTTTGAAGGTTACAAAAGTTCAAGATGACCATAGCTAACACAGTGATTAGCCATGATAATTCTACACTCCAGTCTATGGGAACTGATCAACTGCTAGAATTATTCATTCTAAGAGAGGATGGTATAAACAATAAAGAAAAAGAAACCTGTGAAAGTACAAGCAAGCGTCAAACTATTCACTCAATATTAGACAGCCTTGGTGAATTGTGGGATGAGAAACAGTATGAATCTGAATACAACTTGAATTCATTCCTTGAATCACTTGCAACATAGTAGCAAGCAGGTTTTTCTGATGTCAACGTTTATATTTTTTGCACAGTATTTATGAGAAAAACATTTTTCATGTATGAAAATATTAAAAAAAAAAAAAATTATACTGACTTTTTTTCGTTTTATTACTTACATGATATTTATCAGTAGCTTAGATATACATACATGCACCTATATGGGGGATTCTCAGAATAACCAAAAAGGGATTTCTTCTCAAGAATTGTATGAACATTGGTTAGATTTTGTGGAATGACTTGGCCAAGAATTTTACAGGAACTACATGAATGAATTTAAGGCACAAGGGGTAACTGTGTATGATAACAAGAAAAAAAAGAGAAACATTAGGGAGTGAGAAGAAAAGAGTAATCGAGAAGGCAGTAGATAGTGCATTTAAATTTTTGAAGATCAATGTTGGCCGAAAAGCATGAAACCAGAAGAAACTTCCACAACCAAGAAGTATGAGAAAAGAAACTGTTAGCATAAGACTTATGGTTATGTTTAGCCAATTCAACTGAATTAATTAAACTTTGTCACTAATCTAGTACTGCACATAATTCATAAAGTCTAGGTACCATAGTGAAGAATTATCATGAAAGTATTTATAGAAAAGGCAGAAGGAAGCTACAGTACAGTAGTGGGAAAATGGTGGTGGGATGCTTGGTAATAATATTGCTGATTCTGTGGAATTTATCAAGAATCCCTAAATGTACAGCAGGAGCACCGGACCAGATGTAGCAATATTCAAAGCATGAATGAATGGTAAACTTATAAATATGCAAGATAGATAGATTCTGGAGAGGAACACAAGGAACAGACTTATTTTAGCAGCAGACCTCACAATGGAATCAATATAGTCTTTCCATTTCGTATCAGCCGAGAATGTTAAACTAAAAAAGTGCAAGAAGCCACTTTCATGAAGGTTAGGCATCAGCCATGCTGGTTTTAGGCAGCAAGGGATTCTTTCAGGTAATTAATAGAGAAATTGCTCAAATTGTTCTGACATGAACAATATTCTTCGGTCTGAATGGATATTTGCTGGTGTTCCAAAGAGGGGCAAAGAAGTAGTGCAGACATTTTATTACTGAGTTTGCAGATCTATCTGGGCAATGATATGTTAATGGGGATCATGAATATTCATCAATTATATATATTTCTTAGTTTTTAATTTTACTTCTTGATTTAGAATTAACATAAATGCACCTGATTTTTGGTAAGTTACTAGTGTGAAGTAAAACCCGATTAAGTAATGCGTTAATTTTTTTAATGCCTGTATATTGGCATAGATTTCTTTGATAGCAGACTGTCGCTGTTCAAACTGCTACAGCTTCCTTGAAAAAGAAGGCATCAGGATGGCCATTTTTGCCTCAGTGATGTAGCAATGGCATTATCAGATGTGTCTGTTTCCATGACTAAGTTGAGTGGCTGGGTCTAATGCACAAATATATCCATGGTTTGTTGAAGTGCTAGTATTATGGGCGTGTTCATTGTGCATACATCTTTTGTATTTTATTAATGATTCAAGAAAACAACAAAACTCCAAATGTGAATCAACAAGTATATATTGAAATAACATACATGAACAAAATATACAATAATTTGTATTCAGTGTATAGATTAAGGGAAAAGAAGTTGCTTCCATTTTTGATTTGTAATTGATTGTTTGAAAGAAAGTTCTCTTTAGAGAAATGTTCAGGAATCAATGTTAGAACAAGTCTGCTGTTAGAATAGATAACACAAGAATACAATTGATCAGAAAGTGTGTTGTGTTAGAGAAATTAACAGTCCTAGTTGATTGAACTTGGCTGAGTTCTAAAATTCTGTTTCTGTGTGCGTTTGAAATGTGAGTAAAATCATAGGTTTGTGTTGACAGGCGAAATTTGCTGGACTCTACTGGCGGCTTGTGAAAAAGTCACCTCTGTTAAAGCTACAGATAGGATCCCAGCAAAACCACGGGAAAAGTTGATTTTGCACTAAAATATGTGATTGGTTACAATTTGACCAATCGCTAAATTTGTGTGTGTGTGAAACAAGTAAGTTCAAAACCAAAAAATTAAATAAATACTGCGATGGCTAAATTGTTCTATAGAAAGGCAGTATTGATTTATTAGCCAATCGGAGATGAATAAAATGTGGACGTGGAAAAACAGTCGCTACACTAGCATGTCAGCAACCGGTCGCATGAGCAGAAGTTTTAAATTGCTCGGCGTCAGGATTCATATTCACTTCACTCACAGTGTACCCTTGATTGAGGGTTCTCACTGTGATACCAAGCCGTCGGCCCTTGGTCAACTCCTGAAGTCAAGGGTCGTGGAATCTCTTGGTCAGCTTCTACGAGGCAACACTCTGGTTCCCGCCACTCGAACTGTCTCTAACTCTGTCCGGAGCGGAACTGCCACTGCTACTCTGCCGAACTCAACTGATTCTCACTCATCGACATTCGTTTATATGGGTCTCCGTCGTCCGTGAGGGAAGGTCGGAGGAGAGCTATCCTCTTTCTCTCTCAAATTGATATCTCATACCAATCCCTTCAAAGGCGTTAACAACTTCTCTGCCTTTCTCATCCATTCACCTCCGCCTATCACCCATACTACCACCCAACAAATAATCTCTCGACCGTGCGGGTGTGGCTAAGCTGGCCCCCTTAAAATTATAATCCAGAAGTTTTGTTTACAAAATTCTCCTTTCCCATCGGCCAAAATTTTTACGATTTCCATATTACAATTAAATTCTTATCACATCCAAAATTCACTTAGCCAGCACTCTCTACCGTCTCATCAATCACTGTCAAAGTTTGGCATTTGGTCCTGAAGTTAAGCCAGCTTTATAATGGAATCCTTCGCCTGTTAAGAAATTAAATTCTTTTATCTCGCCAAATCTCAATTCTCCACTCATCGACATTGCCATTCAACGTCTTAGCGTCTGTTGGTCAAGTAAATGAGACAATGTCGAAATTTTATATTTGCCACATTGCCTTTCTTTGCTTGCTGGTGGCCAGAAAAAAATATGATATCTTAGAAATATAATTAACACTGATTCTCCCTGCCTGTATCGGCGATCGTCTCCAGCCGAAATTTTTACGACCGGCACGTATTTTGGCCGATAATTTCGTAATTGCCTTTCTTTCTATCTCCCTCAGCGAGACATAAATCAACAAGACCACACACACAGCTCTTTCCATGAGTTTATGTTTTTGTAAATAAAATAAAATCTTTCTTTTAAGGTCAATCAGTCTATCCTTTGTGTAGCCACTTAACTTTAGCGCCCACTGTTGAATCTTCTTATTCGTCCATTTTGCCTGCAGTACGTACTGCAGGGACCTGTGGTCTGTCTTTATAGTAAAGACAGCACCATTTAAGTAGTAGTCCAGTTTCTGGAGAGCATACATGATAGCATATGCCTCTCTTTCTATTAATGGCCTTCTCTGTTGTGTCTCTGAGAGCTTATGAGAGGGAAAGTATATCGGTACTTCCTCTGGTATGCCTGGCACTGGTCCTTCTTTATCGGGACACGGCTGGGTGAGAACTGCTCCTACACACTGCTCACTGGCATCAGTGTATAGCACCATGGGCTTGCTGAGGTCTGGGTACGTCAGCAGCGGAACGGCTGTCAGCTGCTACTTTAAGGTATCAAATGCTCTTTGGCAGTCTTCTGTCCATTTGAATCTAGCGTATTTCTTCGTCAGTGCTACTAGGGGTATGGTAATTCTCGATAATGCTACGTATTCTCTTTGCTTCTTAGCGGTCCTTCCTTCGTTAGGTCGTGGCGAATGCACTCGTCACTGAGCGCTTCTACATATAGATCTGCCAAATGGGCCTGCATTACTGCGTTGTGTCATACTTCCTCTGGGAAAGCTAATAAAGAGAGCTTCTCTGCTCGGGTTCCTAATTCTCCAGGGGTTTTGTCTTTCAGCTGTGTCATCTTCAGGAGGCCTCTCATGGCCTCCATCGCTGTCGTCTCGTCAGCGAACTCCTGAGTCAGCAATACCTCGAGCCTTTCCCATGTCAAGTGCGGTTTTCTGGGTAAGAGTCCCTTTATGAACTCCGATGCTTTCCCTCTCGCGGCGTCATACGCCAAATACAGGGTTTCTTGGTCTGATAGTTCATAGATTATGCGGCTCTTATCCAGAATTGTCAACCAATCTCTAAAAGTTTTCGAGTTACCATCAAAGGCTGGAACCCTCGGTTCGCCCAACAATTCCCTCAGGTTTACTGGCAATCTCTGCTCAACCCCCTCTTCCTCTATGTCTACCCTATCCGAATCGTGGTCAGACATATTGAAACCAATTCAAAACCAAAACACAATCAGAGCAGAAACAATCGAAATATTATTGCGAGATTAACCGAAAAAAGTGGCTCACCTGACAGACGATTTCCAGGTCGTTCTCCTCCGGTTCCGGGCTGACGAACTAGAGGGTCTGGAACCGTATGGTTATAATTAACCAAAGTCCTTTGGTTCCCACTCTAGCCTTTCCGTACTTGAGACACCGCACCTTGTCTTGGGCGAAATTCTCTGCAACTCCTGTGGCAGTGGTTAGTTTAGGGTCGAATCCTGGTAGTCACGGCACCAATATGTGACACCAAGCCGTCGGCCCGTGGTCAACTCCCAGTCACGGCGCAAAGCTGTAAGGTTTCTTCGACCGGCGTTTTGGGGTTGACTACCAGCCTGTGTCCCGGTCGTTTGGTGGTCGTCGCTACTCGGCGAAATCCTCTGGTCAGGATACCAATATGTGCCACTCAGCCGTCCATGGTCGAATCCGTTGGTCAAGGCACCAATATGTGGTACCAGGGTCGAATTCTGGTCATCGATGTTAACGGCTTCACCAGCTGTACTGGTTCAATGCCAACTCTATCGTTCCCAGTTCGCTGCAAGATCTGGTTACCGGGATAACGGCTTCGATCTCAAGTCTAACCTACCCAGGTTGTGACTTTGATCTTAGGTAGACGAGATCAATCAGGCGTCGGGCCGTAGTGTAAGCTGAGTCCAAATTGAAGATGGCATTGCAC